AAAAAAAACCATCCTCACGGTTGTGGAGAACCTTTGAAATACGTAAAGAAGTCTCTGACTGATGCTCGATCTCAAAACACGAGTGAAATTGCTTTCTTTTCTGTTGGCGAGTTCCGAAATGTGTGGTCCCGTCCATGCAGCTGGAGTGAGAAGTCTGATCCGCCCAGTAAGGGCAGCCTGTTTCTGTTCTTACCGCACCAACTGAGCTCTGAATCAGGAACATAGACATCTGAGTTTAAGGAGGTCTAGCACAACGCCACACCTCCTCCGCAGCATGCTTGGGCACCCTCTGTAAATAAAGCGAAAGCACATAGTCAAAGCATTTCACTTGTGGTGCGACTAGTTTTCAAACGTCTTCGATCATTTGAATAAGTTTAGTTTTAAAACGGGTCAGAGATGCTGTTTGGTCGGATATATTATTATTCTAAAATACATTTAAAAAAAATCCATTCATACTAAAATGATTTGAATAGATACTGTACACTTCTTCTATAGGCTAATGATGTTTCCATTTCTGAACTAAAAATGCCTTCTTGTAGGTCTTGTACATATAGGTCAACATGTTTTTTTGCATTTGATTCCTACAAGATTTTTTTTAATAGTCTCGAACTTCATTGGTTACTGATCCATTAATCGCATAGCCTATGTTTCACTGACGTTCTTGTCTATCAGCTTAACAAAGAAATAGGTTCTGGGCTATAATTCAATTACATTAGAGACATTTTATTCAATTTAAACTTGCAAAAAAATAAACGAAAATCTTGCCAAAATAAATCTGAAGACGTCCGAAATAAAGATAGGCGCTTATCACAGAATGACACATCACCTTCATCAATTAGGTTATTAATCATGGTTATTAATAGATATACCTATTCAGTTTTATTTAAAATTTAAACTTAAGCGACTGAGGCCCTTAAAAACGTCCGCAAAAATGTCCTGCAAGAATTGGAGGAACGTAAAAATATTTGCGCTGATGCAATATATAGCCTACATATAAAGTATGTAGTTCAACATTTTTTTACTGGGCTTTTAATTGCATGGCACTTTGCACACAGTTTCCAATTTTACTTGTGATGTTGTAATAAAAAATAATTTATTATTTATAACCTACAACCTATAACCTATATAACCTATATAACCTATAACCTATAACCTATATAATTTATAAGTTATTTTGCCATGTTATAATTCGATGATTAAACCGTGGTGAATCATTTATAGGTTATTCACCATCGTCAGGAAATTGTTTTGAATTTCAGTTCTTTTTTT